CTTCACTGACTACGACAGCTTACAATCAAGTCTTCAGCCATAGTGTCGTCAACTGGTGAAATACTTTGCTCATAAATTGTGCATATTAATTGCTCATGTACTACATCGATCGATAATTCTCTCTTTGAGTTCACGAAGCGGCCCCGGCGTTCCAAACCTGACGCTCACAGTCATCTTTTAGCGTGAACCTACCGTGAACGGCGTGAGGGTTTGTATGCAAGGTGAGCATATCTCTGAGTTTCCCAGCGCCAACATCATCAACTGACTTAAACTCGAACAATAAAAAAAAATATAGAGTGACTCCTATGATCGAATCGCTTCGAACAACGCAAATAGCCTTCTTCAGGTTCGCAACGCCTTCTGGGTTTCTGGGGGGAGGGGGGGAGACGAGGTACAAAAAGTATTCGTGCAAGGGAAAATCCTATAAAATCATTTGTGAGAACATCGTTTCTTGGTACCAGACCCTCGTGTCTTCCCTCTCCCGGGAGGCCGTTTTTCTGCACCGACGACCGAAAATCGAATTTATAACTGGGCCGCACAGGCAGACTAGTAATGTCAGTTTTTCATTTTACAGTTTGTTATTTTGGTAGATCGACTGTTTGGGGCTCCGCAGTTTCCAACTAATGACGCAATGGGTGGTGAAAGCCCCTAAGGTGAAAGAGAATTTAAAATACACCACTAAGCTGTAACTGCACTTAATGTTAACAGAATTAGCGACTGAAAAGACGTAATGGGAACCCGAGGCTTCTCCACATGCATTCGCTAATAGATCTTGCTTCACACTTGAGAAAGAAAAGACTTGAAAAACAAAAACAATAGCTCAAGTGAAACCCTTTCCATCGAAGATACAGTTGAAAAGTAGAAATGTAGGGCTTATGCGATAAACTGTGCACCTGGGACGATGCATTCCCTATGGCATAAACCGTGTCTAACACTCTCTGTGCCAAGTATAATCTTCACCTACTATATGTTATTGGTACTTACTTTGACTGAACCAAGACTTATCAGTATATCCACCAAATATGTAACTACCAACTTGGACGATGGTTACGGTGGGACCCTTTCCATCACAGTTGCTGTGGAATGTTGATGCCGCCCAACAATCTTTTTTAGCGCGCCAGCACCTCACAAACCTGCTGCGACCTGGACTCTGAAGGACTGGGTCTAAATATGAATTCAACTGGCCCAGGTACTTGCTATCAAGGCTGCCAAGAATACTGGATGAAGTGAGAGCACCTGCAAATACAAACAAAAATCGAAGAAAAGACAAAAACGTTTGCTATAGTTATAATTCATGTGGACGGGGTAGGAGGCCGTAACTGGATACCTTTTCCAGTAATGGGGTTGGTTCCATCGAAATAGTCAAGTGTGCTATTTCAGCACGTTTTTTTTTTTCGAGGGCGCAAAATAGCGTCGGACAGAAATTACCTCTGCAGGAGTTGAGTGAATTCCAGTTCTGTCATCATTGCCTCCTCTGAAATTGAGGTAAGATCTTGAGGAGAACCTCTTCAACAATAACTCTAAATGTGAGGACTGCGGTGAATATAATTCTGCTTATGTTCATCACCGTAGTAAGGGTGTTTATGACAAATCCAGGGACGAAGTGATGATTTAGCAACAGAACGGGAACGTCAGTTGACTGAAAATAACATTTCTAAATTCGATTCTTGACCAACGGCAGAGCGACAAATTAGACACCGGAAGTCGCGTTTAGTCCTTTCAGCGCGCTTTCCCGTCGTCAATTGACGTCCTTGTTCTGTTGCTAAATCAGCCTAATATTTCTGATCAGACGAAACAAAAAAACTTGTGGGCAAAAGGAGGGCGGAAATTTAACGACGAAAAATATAATTATGTCTAGTTTTCCTCAAATACATCTTTGAATTGACTTTGGGCTGAGCTGTTTTTTTTTTCTTTGTTATATATATTTTTTAGTTTTGTTCTTTTGTTTTTGATCATATTTTCGCTTTGGCTTGTTTACCTTAGTTCTTACACCTGGCCCATTTCAGCCTCGCGAGGTTTTTGCATTAAACTTCTTACACGTATGTCCAGTAATTTTTATACAACGTTGACTTATTCTTCCACTATGCATGCATTGCCTTTCGAGATCAGTATGAATCACTTGGAAAGTTCAAAGAGCACTCAGGTAAAGTCGCAAAACGATCGCCCATCTCCTGAAATTCAACACCAGAGCCGCCCAAATTTACGGGTCCCCTCGCGATTTGATGACATTAAAGGTGGCGTTATTTGTTCTAAAAATAGCACTCTTGACTACCGTGTGGCACGAAATTTTTGCGTGTTCTAATTTTTGCTATTTTTGCGATTTTTCCAGCGAGCCGCAAAAAAAGAGGTTCTCGCAGGTAAAAATTACCGCAAGCATTTTCCCGCAGAAATTTACTCCAGACTAAGAAATAGCTGTGTGGTCGCTTATCTTAAGACACAAAAACAGTCTAATATTTGAGCGACGAGGTACAGGGAACGACTAACATTGTGCTTATTTAAC